AATGCCGCCTTTGCCGAGGGTGTCCTGAGTGTCGTCGCAGCCGGCAACTCCAACGCCGATGCGTGCGACTACTCTCCCGCCTCTACACCACTCGCAGTCACCGTGGGATCGACAACCAACAGCGACGCCAAGTCGGGCTTCTCGAACCACGGCACGTGCGTCGACATCCATGCGCCTGGCTCCGGCATCACGGCGGCGTGGGTCGGCTCTGACTCGGACACCACCACTATCTCCGGAACCAGCATGGCGTGCCCGCACGTCGCGGGAGTTGCGGCGCAGATCCGCGCGCTGCGGCCGAACTTTGGCCCGGGCCAGGTCACAACGTCTCTGCTATGCTTTGCCACTCCAGACACCATCAGCGGCCTCCCCTCCAACACTGTCAATGAGCTGCTGTTCAACGACCTCGACGACGCGGCTCTATCGGAGTGCCTCCAGGCATCAAGCCCTGCGCCACCGACGCCGCCCTCGCCGCCGCCCTCGCCGCCGAACCCGGGCAGCTCGTGCGAGCTGGCGCACTCCTTTGGCGACTCCTCGACCAACACCTTCTCGCTGGACATCTCCGACACCTCGGTCGGTGTCGGCCCGCCCGGCTACGATCCCTCGCTCTGCTCGGGCACGTGGTTCACCGGCAGCGGCGCCGTCTACTGGCTCAAGCTCGACGACGTGCGGCCAGGCGTGTCGCTCGACCTGACCGCCTGCGGCTTCGACACGGACCTCTCCATCTTCAAGGGCTCCTGCGACAGTCTCGAGATGGTGGCGTGCGACGGCGACTCCGGCTCGTGCAACGTCGCCTACAGCTCCTTCATCAACGACTTTGTGCCCGAGGCGGACACGCAGTACTACATCGTCCTGGGCGGGTACAATGCCGCTACAGGCGCCGCCACAGTGACCGCCACCTACGCCTCGGGCGCGACGCCCTCGCCCTCGCCGGCGCCGTCTCCCTCTCCCTCGCCAGCGCCGTCGCCAGTGCCGTCGCCCTCGCCAGTGCCCTCGCCATCACCCTCGCCGGTCCCCTCGCCGTCGCCGTCGCCGTCGCCGTCGCCGACACCCTCTCCTTCGCCAACTCCTTCGCCCACCCTGCCCGGCACCTGCTTCCCGAGCCCGACATCGCTCTCGACCAAGATTGTCGGCGGCGAGGAGATCGACCCGCCGCGCCTCTACCAGTTCCTCGCCCACCTCGGCGGCTGCGGCGCCATCCTCATCCACGCGGAGTGGGCGCTGACGGCCGCACACTGCGCGCCCTACTTTGGCGCTGGCTCCGAGATTCTCCTTGGTCAGCACTCGCGCAACGCTGCCGGATCCGGCGCTGATGAGTGCGTCGAGCGGCTCGAGGTGGAGACCATCGTCCCTCACGAAGACTACAACGGTGGCACTTTCGACAACGACATTGCGCTCATCAAGTTGTCCGCCCCGAGCGAGTACGCCGCGATCGATATGCTCGACCAGCCTGATGACGACACCTGGCACAGCGCGGGCACGCCGCTCGTCGTGGCGGGCTGGGGCACGCTCTCGTCGGGCGGCAACACGCCCGACAAGGCACAGCATGTGACCGTGCCGGCCGTGCCCGAGTGCGCCGAAACTGGCTACGGCAACCAGTACAACCCTGCAACGATGGTGTGCGCTGGCGAGACGGGGCTCGACAGTTGCCAGGGCGACTCGGGCGGGCCTCTTTTTGGCATTGACAGCTCGGGCAAGCGCACACTGGTCGGGATTGTCAGCTGGGGATATGGTTGCGCGGCCAACAACTACCCCGGTGTCTATGCGCGTGTGCAGGCCTACACCGACTGGATCTGCGACTTGACCAGTGGCGACGTTTGCTCGACCGGCATGCCACCCGCCTCCCCGTCGCCGCCAAAGCCACCTCCCGCATCGCCATCGCCGCCGCCCTCGCCCTCGCCGCCGCCCTTGCCGGGCAGCTCGTGCGAGCTGGCGCACTCCTTTGGCGACTCCTCGACCAACACCTTCTCGCTGGACATCTCCGACACCTCGGTCGGTGACGACCCGCAAAACTACAATCCCTTGCTCTGCTCGGGCACGTGGTTCTCCGGCAGAGGCGCCGTCTACTGGCTCAAGCTCGACGACGTGCGGCCAGGCGTCTCGCTCGACCTGACTGCCTGCGGCTTCGACACGGACCTCTCCGTCTTCAAGGGCTCCTGCGACAGCCTCGAGATGGTGGCGTGCGACGGCGACTCCGGCTCGTGCAACGTCGCCTACAGCTCCTTCATCGACGACTTTGTGCCCGAGGCGGACACGCAGTACTACATCGTCCTGGCCGGGTACAATGGCCTCACAGGCGCCGCCACAGTGACCGCCACCTACGCCTCGGGCGCGTCGCCCTCGCCGGCGCCGTCTCCCTCTCCCTCGCCAGCGCCGTCGCCAGTGCCGTCGCCCTCGCCGGTGCCGTCGCCGTTGCCAGTGCCCCCGCCGTCGCCTACGCCGTCGCCGGGTCCGGTCGCTCCGCCTGGGCTCTTGCCATGCGATGCCTGCGACTTTGCCGTCGAAGTTTTCAATGGCGTCGAGTGCATTCTCATTTCTGATCTCCTCGACCACTCCCCCCTGGCGCCACCCTTCGCTTCCCCAATCCCGTCGCCGCCTCCGCCGTCGCCGTCGCCGTCGCCGCCTCCACCGCAGAATTGGATCGAATGCGGCAGGCCCGGTCGGTGCACGGAGGCAGCGAAGTTTGCAGCGCATACAGAGTTGCATGAGGTTCGCTGTTGCTCCGAGACGCGGCTCTCCAATTCGTGGCGCCGGAATCAGGGTTGCTCGGTGTGGAGTGATTCTCAGGGGCCAGAGATGGGCGAGTGCGCCCACTCCAAGACGTTCTTGGAGGCAACGGCAATTTGTGCCGATGCCGGCGCTCGCCTCTGCACCCAGGATGAGATAGCAGGCAGCTGCACTCGTGGCACAGGGTGCGGCCATGACCGTGACCTCATCTGGAGCTCTACGACTGATTGAGCCAAGGAAAGCTTTCATTCATTATCCATCTATTTATTGGCACCGCAGCCTACGAAGTTGTTCATTATTGGCACCTCTTTGCCCCCCTCCCGCCCCTCTCCCCTGTTCATCTAGAAGATCGATCTCGAGCTCAGATCGATGCTGTCCCTAGTATATCTGTGACGCCTCATGTTGCATGTCCGTGGAGGATCTTGTCGAGCGTCCGGTCTTTTGTGTACCACATTACGCGGCACCCACTCACCGTCGTCCAGGCTGGCCCTTTAATGGTTTCCCCTAGCAGCAGAACGCCCCCTCTACTCGGAGCTAGTAAACACCAGACAAGGACACGCGACGACACACACTCCACCTTGGCGGCGTCGGTCGGGTATTTTTTTCACTCGGCTTTGGGTCGCGGCCAAGTCTCGATCGCTGCTCCGCCGCCGCTCTTCTCACTGCGCAGCTCACGGCCCTGCCTCCTCGGTAGATTTGGGTAGATCGGCATGTCACTGGCCAAACGTGCGCTGCGCGCGAGCCTGGACGCCGGCTCCGACGGCTCCGTCACGCTCGCCAGCCTCTCCGGCGCCTCGGCGCTGCGCACGCTCGACCTGATGTTTGAGGCGGCGCCGAGCGGAGGCTTCCAGTACCGGCTGTCTGGGCAGTCCGCGTCGGCCGCAGAGGGCGGTCCCTCGGCCCCGCCGGAGCGCGCCATTCCGCTCGACACACTCGACCTCATGTTCGAGGCGGACGGCGGCGCCTTCACGTACCGGCCGCCTCCGGCGCGAGCCAACGCAGAGAGAGGGTCCGAGCCTCGCACGCTCGACCGTCTGCTGACGCCGGCGCGCTGCTCGGCGTCATCGGCCTCCTCCTCCGGCTCTGGCTGCACCGGCTCTGGCCGCACCTCCCGCGCCTCTGGATCCTCCGACACTCCGCCTCGGCTGTCTGGCGGCGCTGGCGTTCGCGGCTCGGGCGCGCGTGCGGCCCGGCAGCGTGGGACGGGGCTTCCCCAGGTGGACGAGACCTCGATGGTGCGGGTCGCGAGGAGTGAGTAGAGGAGTTGACTCACAAGGAATGCCTCAGGTCGACGAGAACTCGGTGCAGGTGAGCCCTCCAGGCACGCCCAGCGCCGCCGCCGGCGCAGCAGGCCGCACGCTCGACTCGCTCTTTGGCTCGATGAGTGCCGGAGACAGGGACAGCGGGTCTGTGGGTGGGTCCGGACCGCTGTCGCGCCTCTCGCTACCGCGCTCAGGCAGCGGCGCCAGCGGCGGCCCGTCTCACGCAGCCCAACTGACGCAGGACGAGCGGCTCGGTGGCAGCCGCGGCTCGGCGCACGCGGCGCTCCTCCACGCCCGACGAGCGGGCGCCTGGCCGTCTCAGTGAACAACGAATGGATGGTGAGTGGTGAGTGAACAGGCGCACCTCACGCTCGACGAGCGAATGGGCAGCCGCGGCTCCTCCTCGTCCTGCCGCAACTCCTCCCCCTCCACCGCCGGCAGCCGCCATCTCGGCCCACCTCGGGCAATCTCGGGCCACCTCGGAGGCGGCGGGGGAGGCGGAGGCGGCGGCGGCGGCGGCGGCGGAGGCGGCGGAGGAAGCGGGGGCCGCGCGCCAGCGAGCAGCCGCGGCGTGCGCATCGACGTGCCCGACGGCGGTGGCGGCCCAACCAGCGGGCCACGGCGCGTCGCGTCGCTGCCGAATGCGATGCCTGACGGCCAATCTCGGGTGATGCCTGAGGGCCAGAGGCCGCCCGCGCTGGCCAAGAGTGCGACCACGGGCCACGCGGGGTTGGAGGCGCTCGGCTGGCGGCTGGACGACGGTAGAAGTGCACCGCGCAAAACAGAACGACACCACGCAGGCGCTCGGCTCGCGGCTGGACGAGCTGCGCGCCGCGGTGTGGACACAGGCCGACCCGCCACACGTCACGTCCGTGACCGTGTACACGTCCCTCCCGTATTGACGAGGGCTGGTTTGTGATCGGCGTAGGCCGACTCGCCGCCCGACCGAGGCGACGAGTACGGCAGCGGAGTCGCTAGCTGCCGCTCTCGTCTTTGAAGTAGGCCGGTTCGCCGCCACACGAGGCGACGGCGGGCGTGCGCGAGGTCGCGGCGAGGCGCTCGCTCTACCTGCAGACCCTCTCGAGCCTCCGCCGTGTCGCGGGGCTTGGTGCGGGCCAGTTCGGGTGCGTCTCCCTTGTGACGGACGTGCACGGGCAGCCGCACGCGCTCAAGGCGCTCTGGAAGGGGCAGCTGATCGCGTCCGGCAGCGTCGGTGCCGTGGTGCGCGAGCGTGAGCTGCTCGCGTCGGTGAGCTGAATCTGGCCTTCCGACTAGCGCTCGAGAGGACACGCACCCCACTGTGGTTCGCCGTAGTCTTCCGCCGCAGTCGATGCTTTCGTAGCGACTCGTAGTCACGACTCCCTGCCCCGAGGCATGTAGGTGACCATGTAGGTGTGCCACGATTCCCTGCTTTGACCATGTAGGTGAGCCACCCCGCAGTGGTGCGGCTCGAGGCCTCCTTCCAGGACGCGCGGCGCGTGTTCCTGCTGCTAGAGCCGGTCCTCGGCGGCACGCGTGCGCACCTCTCCCCTCTCGCCTCTTCACACCTCTAGGTGTGAACAGGTCCTCGGCGGCGAGCTGTACGCAGTGCTGCACATGCTGGGTCGCCTCGAGGAGGGGCAGGCCCGCTTCTACGCCGCGTGCGTCGCCGACGTGCTCGGCCACCTGCACGACGCGTGTGGCACCGTGCGTACCGCACCCCTCTCCAAGACATTTCCCCGACACCTGTCCCCGACACCTCCCGTGCAGGTGAGCGGCATCGTGTACCGCGACCTCAAGCCGGAGAATTTGCTCGTCGATGGCGTCGGCTACCTCAAGCTCGTCGACTTTGGGCTCGCCAAGCGGCTGCGGCCCCTCGCGGACGACGGCGAGGTGCACGCCGCAGAGCGGACCTCGACTATCTGCGGCGAGATGCAGCCGAGAGATAGCTGAGAGAGAGCCGCGAGAGAGCCGAGAGATAGCCGAGACGTAGCCGAGATGCAGCTGAGATGCAGCTGAGATGCAGCCGCGATGTGCCGAGAGATAGCCGAGATGTAGCCGAGATGTAGCCGTGATGCAGCCGCGGCAGAGCGAACCCCGACAGGCACGCCCGAGCCTCTCGCCCCCGAAATGGCGGGAGAGCCCCCCGAGAGTACCCGAGATTGCCTGTAGGCACGCCCGAGTACCTCGCCCCCGAGATGGTGCGGGGGGAGGCGTACAGCTTCTCCGTCGACTGGTGGGCGCTCGGCGTGCTGCTCCTCGAGATCGGCCTGTGGCTGTGAAGAGCGTCTCTTCACGCCTCCAGCTGCCAGCACAGGCATGCTGCTCTTCGAGATGCTCGCCGGCGTGCCCGCCTTCCGCAGCGCCGACCCGGCAGAGGTGTACCGCAAGATCCTCGTCGAGGCTCCGCGTTTGCTCTTCAAGAGCAGCGCCGAGTGCGACGCTCTGCTGGCCGGTCTGCTCGCCAAGGCTCCCGAGCAGCGGCTCTGCGCGGCGGACGAGGTCTGCGACGCGCCTTTCTTCGCAGCGATCGCGTGGTCGAGCTTGCGCAGCCGCAGCACGCCCGCCCCGTTCCGGCCGAAGATCGCGCACCCGACGGACACGTCCAACGTCGTCACCATCGAAAAGTACGCGAGCCCGGCGAGCGAGGAGGGCGACGGCGCCGAGTGGGATCGCTACCTCACGAGCGCCACTTTGCGCAGCTCCACGCACCCCTTCGCCTCCTTCGCCTCGGGCGTGTGGTAAAGAGATGGTGTTTGTGAGCCTCGTGTGGCGTCTCGTGTGGAGGCAGCCAACTTTGAGTGTCCATTGCCAGCGCGGCGGCCCCTTAGATTAGCTTGTAGGTTGGTGTTGCGATCGAGGGACGAGAGGCGAAATCAGACGGCCCGGCGCGGATCCCGGATTACAGTATATAAGACGCGAAAGCGAAAATCGATGTTGCGCCGAAAAGAGAATATCGGCCACATGCCCGGAAAAAATTGGAGTTCGTCAGAATTTGTCCGCGACGGAAACCATTTTTTATATCCTTTCAACCGCCGATGAGGCAGCCGTTTCCTTGCACATCAGACATCTCTCTTCGGGTTGTGTTCTTGCGTGCACATCTCCGCCCCCGAGCCCCCCGCCCCCCCCCCTCTGTCACGGCACGTCCTCTCCAGGGTTCTCTCAGAGACAGTTCCACGCTCTCTATGAGTTGCTGCTGGGCTGCATCTGCCGCCGTCCTGGCAGCAGCCGCCCTCGCCCTCGAAGCGGCGCGGCAGCAGCACGCGCCGCGCGTCTGCAGCGGCCGCTGCCTCCTCGAGCGCCGCGTCGCTCCCTTCGAGCGCCGTCTCGCCCCCTTCCACAGCCAGATCGGCCTCGATTAGTGCTGCCCTGGCCGCCGCCTGCGCCGCCTTGGATTTCTCCAGCGCCGCTCTGGCCTCCGCCCGCGCAACCTCGGCATCCGCCAGCGCCGCTAATGCAGCCGCCTCAGCCGTCAACCCCGCCCCCCAAAAAGGATAAAATTTCTTATACAAGCCAATGCTGTAGAGATGTATAGGCATGGAACTTGGAGTTGGCGGCGGGCGCGCTGCACAGAGCCCCCGAACTTCTCACCACGCCCACGCCCACGCCTCGACGCTCTTGGGCAGCAGCTGGTTCGACAAGTCCTCTCCGTGGCCTAGGCAGCCGGTCTCACCCTCGCCCCAAGCAAAGACGGCGCCGTCGGCGGTTATGGCAAGGCTGTGCGCGACTCCAGCCGCCACAGCGTTGACGCGCTGGTCAGCAAAAGCCGCGACCTTCTTCGGCAGCAGCTGGCAGCGATTTGGGGGGCATCTAGCGCGGTGGCGGAGCCAGAGTAGACTGAGGCGGAGGCGACCGCGAGCACTAGCCGGGGCAGTCGGAGAAGGGGCAACTCCGTGCCTCGAGAGCAGGGCCATGGGTCCTCCTATTGAGCGCAGTGAGTTCATTGAACCGACCGCTCGCACGAAGACCCCGTTCTTCTGTCCCACACCAATGACTCGGTGAGTGGCGACGGGGGCGACGGCGATGAACGGTGCGGCGACCGCCAATCCGGCGGCTCTGACGCAGTCAATCGGCCGATGGATGGCGATCCACGTCACGTGCGCGGGGTAGATCCAAAACCAAAGGCTCGCGAACGTGATGAACCAACCGATGTACTGCGGGCCCGTGATTTGGTCAAACACGCTGTGCTCGGCGATGACGGGGGCGACGGCTTGCGGGCTCGAGTCCTGATCGGCCTGGAACCTTGGGGAAACCCCCCCGAGGTTGGCGTGCGGCCTCTGGGCGATCTGGGCGAAGCCGGCGCCGGACTCCCCAGTCGCACTCGCTGGAAACACTGGGCGCGCACTCGGCGAGAGCGCGAACCCGAGGGCGACGGTGACGGCGAGGCTCATCGTGTGCTGCCTAATAACAAGTCATCGCCGTCGCCGAAGGACTCATCACTCAGCGGCTGCGGGATGGTCGACTGTCGCCTGCGGGTGTGCTCCGCAGCCTCCGCCTCGTCGGCCCGCGAGGCCTGCAGCTGCTGCAGCAGCGAGCTCTCCCCCTCTGCCAGCTGCGCCCACTCTGCATACAGGCTGCCACCGCCCTCCTCCCCTCGCCGCCGCCGCCGCCGTCGCGCGCCGTCGCCGTCGCCGCCGTCGCCGCCGTCGCTGTCGCCGTCGCCGTCTCCGCTGCCGTCGTCTCCGCGCGCGCCGTCGCCATCGTCGCTGGCGCCCTCCTCGCCGCTGGAGAGCTCGCCGCCCTCCTCGCCGCTCTCCTCCTCGCCACTGTCCTCTCCGCTCTCCTCCTCTCCGCTGCCGCCCTCCTCCTCCTCGTCGCCCTCCTCGTCCTCCTCGTCCTCGTCCTCGTCGCCGTCGTCGTCGTCGTCGTCGTCGTCGTCGCTGCGCATGTCGTACAGCATAGGGTCGCCCTCCTCGTCGCCGTCGGCGTCCTCCTCGCCGTCGTCCACAAAGGCTCCGTCTTCCGGGCCGCCCTCCTCCTCTGCCGCCGCCTGCTGCCGCGGCCGCCGCAGCGCTGAGCGGCCAAAGAGCTTGTCGCGACTCACCTTGCGGCCGGCGAACCGCGCCGCCTCCGCCGCGCTCATCTGGATACCGGCACCGCGCATCCGCCTCCCGCCGACAGGCGCCGCCGCCGAGGCCCGCTCAGAGTCGGTGAGCAGCGACGGCCGCTCCGCAGCGGTGAGTAGTACTCTAGAGTAGCCGTCGCCGTCCTGGTCGCCGTCGACATCGCGCGGCGCGGGGTTATGAGCAGGTCCGCGATCTCGTCCGCAAGCGAGGGCATCGCCGCCGCTGCGGTACGTCGTCCCGCGGAAAAAGTATTCGAAGTTACCGGCTAGAAACGTAATTATATCCTTTCCCTCTCTCTCTAAACAATGCGCGTTGCGATCCACATCACCACCGGCTCGCGGCAATATGGGCACAGCTGCAACCTTTCGGAGCAAGGGCCACACGCGCACTGGTGACCGCAAGGCCCCGCCGCGTGTGTCTTGGGTCGGGTGAAGCAAATGATGCACGTGGTCTCGCCGCCCATGGTGGACTCGGGGACCGCTGCGCGGCCAGTGTTGAAGTTGGCGTCGGCTAGCGAGAGCGCCGCAGCGGTCTGCTCCTGCTCCTCACTCGGCAGAAGGTTGCCGGCGGACTCGGCGGGAGGCGCCTGCTCCTCCGCTGCGCGCCTCGCCTCATCATCAAGCCTCACGCTCTCCTCGAGCGCTGCCGCCAACTCCGTCTCCGTCGCCGCAGCCAGCGCTGCCTCGTCCTCGGGCTCCCGGGAGGGTCCAGCGCCGCCTCCGCCGCCCTTGCCCTTCTTCTTCTTCTTGCCCTTCTTGCTCCCCTTGGCACGCTCCTCCTTCTCCGCCTCCTCCTCCGCCAGAAGCGCCTCGGCATGCCGCGCCGCCTGCGCCTCTGCCACCGCCCTCTCTGCCTCCCTCGCCGCTGCCTCCGCCGCCGCCTCCGCCGACGCATGCTCCTCGATGGCGCGCACGCACTCGTCGTTGCCCTCCTTCTTGGCACACTGCAGCGCCGTCATGTTGTTCTCAGCGCGCACCGCCGCGTCTGCGCCCGCCCGAAGCAAGCGGAGCACGACGGCGGGGTGGCCGTCGATGGCGGCCTGCATCAGCGCGGTGTAGCCGTCAATATCCTGCTTGTTCATCTCCGCCCCTCGCTGCAGCAGCAGCTCGACCACCCGCTCGTGGCCGTGGCTGGCGGCGAACATCAGCGCGGTGGTGCCGCCGCCGTGCTGCATGTCGAACTGCGCGCCGCGCTGCAGAAGCAGCTCGGCCACCCGCTCGTGGCCGCCTTGGGAGGCGAGCATCAGCGCGGTGGTGCCGCCGCTCTGCTTCTTGTCGATCTCTGCGCCTAGCCGCAGCAACAGCTCGACCACCCGCTCGTGGCCGTTGCGGGCGGCGAACATCAGCGCGGTGAAGCCGTCGCTGCTCTTCAGGTTGACCTCCGCGCCGTGCCGTATCAGCAGCTCAGCCACCCGCTCGTGGCCTTTGTCGGCGGCAGCCATCAGCGCGGTGCCGCCGTTGTGGGCGGCGCCAAAAAGCGCGGTGCCGCCGTGGCTGCTGCTCTGCAAATTGACCCCTGCGCCGTGCTGCAGCAGCAGTTCGACCATCCTCTCGTTGCCGGTGCCGGCGGCATACATCAGCGCGGTGCGGCCTTTGCTGTCCTGCAGGTCGATATCCGCGCCTCTCTGCAGCAGCAACTCGACCGCCCGCTCGTGGCCCTCCTGGGCGGCGATTGTCAGCGCAGCGAGGCTTCTCGGCCCGATGGTCGCATTGACCCGCCCGCCGCTGTCAAGCCAAGTCAGCAGCGCCGCCTCGTCGCCTTGGAGAGCTGCTTTCGCGGCCTCTTCGGGAAGGCTGTCCAATGAGCTGGAGGAGGCCGCGGCACTCGCTCCCGCCGCCGCCTCGCCCGGGGAAGCGCCGCCCGCGCCGCCCGCCGCCGCCTCGCGCCGGCTCGCAGTCACCTCCGCGATGTGCTGCCGGAAGGCCTCAATGCACTCGGCGTGGCCGTGCCTTTTTGCCAGCTGCAGCGCGGACTTGCCGTCCACAGTGCGCAGCTTGGTACCCGCGCCCGCGCGCAGCAGGCGGAGCACGGTGGCGGGGTGGCCTTCGATGGCGGCAAGCATCAGCGCGGTGCCGCCGACGCTGTCCTGCATGTCGACCTCCGCGCCGCGCTGCAGCAGCAGCTCGACCACCCGCTCACGGCCGTTGCGGGCGGCGAGCATCAGCGCGGTGCCGCCGTTGCTCTCCTGCAGGTTGGCATCCGCGCCGCGCTGCAGCAGCAGCTCGACCACCCTCTCGTGGCCGTAGCGGGCGGCAATCATCAGCGCGGTGCCCCCGCCGTTCACATCGCCCACCACGCAAGTCGCATTGACCTGCCCGCCGCTCTCGAGCCACGCCCGCAGCGCCACCTCGTCGCCTCGTGAAGCCGCTTTCGCCGCCTCGTTGGGAAGGATGCCCAGTGAGCTGGAAGAGGCCGCTCCCGTCGGCGAAACCGCTAGCATGGGGCGGGCGGGGGGGGGGGGGGCACGCGCTTTTGCGTTTTGCGTGGAGGCAAGATTTCTTTATTTCTTACAGAGAAATTTGTGGAGAACTTCTCGTTGTCAGTTGGTTCTCTGCAGATCCTCTGCCTCCGCGCTGCCAACAAATATGCCGACTTGAATCTCAAGCGCAAGGGACGCACGACGCGCTACACTTCTCTCGGCCCCCTCCAAACGCCTCGACGCCACTCCGACTCCAGCCTCGTCCAGCCAAACGCACCGCCGCAACGCCGCTACAATGTCGTCTGCCCGCAGCAGCCTCGCCTCACAACCCCGAGCAGGGGCAGCAGCGAGCAGGAGAGGGCCTGGCGCACAACCCCTGGTCAACTCTCGCCGCACCCTCCACACCCCGTATCTCTCTCGCTCTCTCGGGCGGCATGTTTAATTGTAAAGAGCCACAGACAACGAGAGAGAGAGAGAGAGCCTAGCCTCTCTATAGGACCAGACTAACCAGCCACCGCGCACTGTGGAGCGACCGACGACGCGCAACGGGGACGATATGACTACATAGTGGCCGGCACTGGCCGGCACGCATGCGCGGCTACGCGCCGAGGTCGCGGCACTGCGGCCCCAAAGGCGGCTCGATGAGGGACGTCCTGCCCATCGGCCCCTCGGAGTTTGTGAGGCCGTTCTGCGGCCCGATCTTGACGGGGTTCCCCGCCTACGAAAGAGACCCCGCATCTGGGGAGATATGGGGAGATATGGGGAGATATGGGGAGATATGGGGAGATCCTCGGAGAGATCTGGGGAGATCTTCCGCATCTAGAGGCTCCGAGGCCTTGAGGTTGGGGAGATATGGGGAGATATGGGGGAGATGTGGGGAGATATGGGGGAGATGTGGGGAGATCTTCCGCCTTGAGGTTGTCGAGCAGCTGGACGGTGCTCTCGGTGGTCAGGTTCT